GGATATAAGTGGGTTTTGGTGTGGAAGGTCAAATTTCCATGCTGTGAAGGAAGATGATGGTGTTTTGCAGGGGCAGCATGGCCCTCAAGCTGGTAAAGGGGCTCTAGATCCCTTATTAACCTATGATAGCCAGGGATTGTTGAGGATTGGAACAGATGGGCATATGTTTGGATGCACTTGCAGACGAATTGGGTACCTGGCGACTGCACAGAGGAGGACCACACCCCTCCTCTTGATTATTATTTTTTAAGAAATAGCTTGGATGGCAACCTATAGTTTGGGGACTGTTTGTTGCCAAAATCCGTTCTCTCCCCGAGAAGCTAGTTAATTAGGTGAGGACGTCCAGTAGCTTTCGATGCTCATAGGGACCTTCCTTTCTACATTAGTAGCCCTATTTAGCCCATACAGCGATTGCACTTTACAATCTCTAGTTGCAGATGGCTCTCTTTATTTAATTGTCTATATTCGTCATGGGCATAGTTTAAATCTGTTACTAGGCTGTAGGTTATGCTTCTGCTGCTGATTTTGCTGTTTAAGCTCTTATGCGTTAGGCTATATGCCATGTGATGGAGTTTTTACTGTACTTTTCTTATTATTCAATATATTTCTCCATTTCTTATCAAAAAAATATTACTGAGTCAAAACGAATCATCCTTTGAAAAGATTTTTTTTGGAATAGTTTGAAGAAAAAAATTAAATTAAAAGCGAGGTTGTAGTTATTATCACGAGCTAATATGGTTAAGTTCACAAAATTTTAATTCTATTAGATACTATTTAAAAATATTAATTTATTAATTATTTTTAATTAATTAATTATTTTATTAATTATTTTTATTAATTAAATTAAATAAAATTAAAATTTTAAATACATTACTTTTTAAATTATTTTTTTACTTATTTTTTTAATAAAATTTTTTTTAATAAAATTGATTTTCTAACCAAATATTTGCACGTTGATGCGATGCGTAGCGTACATGACTTTAAAATTTTGACACAAATTTTAATTTAATGTAAAAATATAGGAGTAATTGTTTGTATTAAATTTTTAGTTAAATTTTAATTTTGATCCTTTAACTTTAAAATTTTACATAATTTTAGTATCTCAAATTTGGTATGAATTTTTTTAATCTCTTAATTATGAAAAATATAATTTTTAGTTTTTTTGTCAATTAATTCAATAAGCTTGTCTATATATACATACGTATATATAAATTTTTAATCATTCAACTTTAAAATTTTATACAATTTTTATCTTTCAACTTATAAATTTAGAAATTAAAAATATACATATATAGATATACCTAACAAATAAATTGATGGAATAACTAAAAATGTGCATCTTTCATAGTTGAAGGATTAAAAAATATATAAAAAAGTTAAGAGACTAAGATTGTAAAAAACTTAAAATTGAAAGATCAAAATTAACATTTAACCTAAATTTCAAAGTAACTAACTACTATAAAAGCTCAAGAAGACCCAACCAATTGATCTCAAGAAGACCCAACCAATTGATTTATATAAGGTAATGATATAGATATGATTAATTATAATTTTTTATAAAACTTTTATATGTTATTATATGTATATAATATTATTAGTTTCAAATGAATTAAAAAATATCTCTATATCATTATCTTATATAAATCATTTGGTTGGGTCTTCTTGAACTTTTATAGTAGTCACTTTAAAATTTAGGTTGAATGTTGATTTTGGTTTTTTAATTTTAAATTTTTGTATAATTTTAATCCCTTAATTTTTTATACATTTTTTTAGTTTTTCAATTATAAAAAATATTTTTTAATTATTTGATCAATTAATTTATTAAATATATCTATATATATGTATATATCTTCTCAGTTCTCACAACCTTAACTCTAAGCTAGGCACATTCATAAAAATAAAAAAAATAAAAAAAGAAGTGGAACAGGCTACAACTTGCTTGGAAAGAAAGAAAATGCAAATATCAGTTAAGCAAAAGGGAAATATCGGGAAAACATTCACATCGCATGCCACCACATGCCATGGCCCTACGAGAAAAGGCCAATATTTTTATGTTGGTTGATGTGACGACGCACCTTAACATATGAACCAAGATTAAAAAAATCCATATTTTAAACTTATTTTTCTCTTTAAAAAAGGCATAGTTCCCACAACCTTTAATCTAGACACATTCATAAAAATAAAAAAATAAAAAAAGAAGTGGAACAGTCTTCAACTTCATTGGAAAGATAAAAAATGTAGGATTAGTTAAGCAAATGGCAAATATCGCGGAAACATTCACATCACCTGCCATCACATGCCATCGGCCTAGAAGAAGGCTAATTTTGGTTTCCGAGAAAGTAGAAGCAGAAAGAAACAAGAAGGTTAAATCGCAATTTGATCTCTTTAATTATTGTATGATATATAATTTAATTTTTAAATTAAAAAATTTTTAATTTAATTTTTATTTTTTATTAATTCAACTTTAAATTGATTCTTTTGTACAAAAGTATGTGACGTATTTTATTATTAACGTGACACGTGATAGTTAAATAATAAACATGTTAATTATTTTTAATAATAGAATCAATTTGAGTCAAATTGATAAATAACATGTACCAAATCAAGGATTTATATAATAGTTAAGGAATCAAATTAAAGGTTTTTTTAATTTAAAAACCAAAT